TGCTGACTGGGCTTGTGTCAACTTGACACAAGCTAGACGGGGAACTTCAATAAAATCTGACTGTAAGCCATTTTCTTAATTTCCTATTGATGGAGAGGGCCCAGTCCATTGTGGGTGGAGCCATCCCTGAGCTGGTGGTCCTGGGTTTTGTGAAAAAGCAGGCTGAGCAAGCCATGAGGAGCAAGCCAGTAAGCAGCACCCCTCCATGGCTTCTGCATCAGCTCCTGCTTCTGCATCAGCTCCTGCTTCAAGGTTCCTGCCCTGTTTGAGTTCCTGTCCTGACTTCCTTCACTGATGAATAGTGCTGTGGAAATTTTCCCCAAGTTCTCTCCAAAGTGGTCATGGTGTCTCATGGAAGTCATAGAAACCCTAAGACATGATAGCTTGAGGAGCCCGTGTTTCTGGGAGCTGGATGGGTTGGGAAAGGCCTCCTTAGGCCAGCAAGATACTTTCTGGCTAGCCTCAAAACCGGGACACTCCTAAGACTGAAAGGGAGTGTTAGAGAGATGGGATCTCGGGATAAGAGGCAAAACTGGCAGTGCCAGGCAAACTAGGGCACCTATATAGGTTTGTAGCCCAGTGAAACCAGGTTTACCTAAATGCACTCAGTAAAAAGTGCATTCATTCAGAAACCTTCTGGATACATTCACCTCAACGTTTCAAAAAATTACCCTTTTGGAGTTCAGAAGTAACTTTTGATTTTTGAGACAGGGTCTTATGTATCCCAGGTTACTCACAATGTAGCCAAACATGAGGCCGAGTTCTCCCTTCTTCTACCTCCCAAATGCAGAGATGATGGGTGTGCACCACCATACTGGATTTACAGGGCTGGGAATCAAACCCAGCAAGCGCTCTACCAACGTAACGTCTCCAGCACTCCACATATGAGAATATCCTTGTAAGAAACGAGTGCATTCCCTTACTAGCAGGAATAATTGTTTTCACCTTGCAGACATTGGTTTTTCTAAACCAGACTCCTGTGTCTTGGCTTTGCATATTGTCCTACTACGTGAATCTTGAAGGTCCTCACGTGCACTCTTAGTTTCATGCATGGTTCTATTTTGTATCTGTAACCTTGACTCTTTCATGAAACGTTTGATTTACACAAGCCTGTAGCTTAGGTTTTAATTTTTAGAATTACACTTATTTATTTACTGGGGGCAAGAACATTTGTGACTAGGTGAATGTGCCATGACATCCCAGTTGATGTTCGAGGACAAACTGTAGGAGTTGGAGGGTCCCTGGAACCAAACTCAGGTAGTCAGACGGGGCGGGGCAGCAAGCACCTTTACCCGCTGAGTCATCTTGCCCACCTGACTTCCGCTTTTCTTGTTAGCCACTTTAAGTTCCTTCAGTAAATAGCAACTCTGTAGTCCCACTGCCCATGAAGGTGTGGTAGCCATCTCTTCAAAGGATTTCATGTTTTGTGAGAGGCTGCCAATCCCGCAGACTGGATCTAAAACCTATATGGAGCTCTAACTCAAACACATCATTACTGAGAAAAGAAATGCTGTATTTAAGCATTGAACATTTGATGACAGAAAAAACTTAATCAGTGCTGCTTATGTATAATACTTGTATTATGGTTATGTCTTTAAAGATATTTTAGATTTATTTTGTTATGTATGAGTGTTTTGGTGGTGTATATGTATGTTTTAGCATGTGGGTGCCTGTGAAGACCAAGAGACATTGGATTTCCCGGAACTGGAGTTAAGGATGGTTGTGATTCCCAATATGGATGCTAAGAATCAAATCTGGGTCCTCTAAAAGCACCAAGTACTCCAACCTCTGAGCCATTTCATTTTTTGTTATTAGTTATCATTTAGAGCTAAATACTGGCAGAAAATGTAGCTCAGTTAGACCATTTGCCTGGCATACGTGACCTCTGGTTTGACCCTAGCACTAAGAGAAATTAACCCATCACAGCTTACTCTGTAGGGGCTGAGTATGACATCAGGTGGATGGAGTGAGAATTTTCACCCTCTATTTATCCTCTTCTTTGGGACTGAAGCCAATAAGCAATTGTTGTGGGAGGGGAGTGCATGCTAATTATTGAACCCAGGGTCTTGCACGTGCTCTATCACTAAACTATACACCCATCCCTAAGCAGGCCGGTAGACTGATGCAGGTGGCTCAGATCTCACTTGGTCTAGTGGGTACTTTCCAGACTGAAGTTCTAGAAAGGCTTGGCTCATCCTGAGACTGGACTATTTTCTTAAGATTCCATCTACCTCTTTTTTGGGTGGGGGATGGGAGAGTCTAGAAACAGGGTTTCACTGTGCAGTCCTAGTTGTCCTGGAACTCGGGACAACTATAGACCCAGTTGGCCTCAAACTCAGAGATCTGTCTGCCTCTGCCTCCTAAGCACAGGGATTAAAGTCATGTACGACCACTGCCCAGCTTTTATCTTCTGTCTATCTTTTGCTCACATTTCTAATTGCTGGCAGCACTTTCAGAGAATGATGTCAACTCCTGCCCAGAGAGAAGACAGTGTGGTCAAGAGCGTGTGACGACCAAGTTCTCACCCTTCAGAGAGATTCTCTGACACCTACTGCACCTGGGTAGTCTGAATAAACTTTTCAATTTATTGGTTTAGAATTTCTCAGAAATGTGTTGGGGTGCATTTATGTACAGGTGTACATCTGTGTGTGGAAGTCAGAGAGCAGTCTTAACTGCTATTCCTCAAAAGCTATCCACGTTTTTTCTTTGAGACAGAATTACTGGAATTCATCAAGTAGGCTAGGCTGACTGGTTATTAAGCCTCAGGACCCACCTGTCTCTGCCTCCCCAACCCTGGGATTTCATGAGACCTTCATGACATTTTTGTGAGTTCTGGGGATTGAAATCAGCTCCTAGTGGTTGCAAAGCAAACACTTTATCAACTAAGCTATAACTTGTGTTTATATATTGTGTGTACATGTTCATGTGTGTATATAAATTCATGCAGGCGGGCAGAGTTCAATTCCTCATTTTCTATTTTAAAAATTTTATATTTTTGGTTTGTGTATGCACACATATGACACAGCACCTGTGTGGAAATCAGACACATTGCAGGAGTCAATTGTCTCCTCCCACCACATGGGATCCAGGGGTCAAACTCCAGCCATCGGGTTTAGCAGCAAGTGCTTTGACCTGCTGAGCTGTCTTGACAGTTCCACCCACCTTATTTTAGAGACTGGAGCAGTCACTGAATCTGATTAGGGTTAGACCAGCTGGCTAGTAAACCCCAGAGACCGTCCTTCTACACCTCCCCAGCACTGGAATTACAGGAGCACGCTGTCATGCCCAGCTTTTTTACACAGTCTTCATGCTTATACAGTACTTTACCAATTAAGCCATCTCCAAGCCTATAATGTCTTAAGTGAAGGTCTATTAACAATCTTGTAGAACATGGATTTAAAATTTCAATGGAATTTAAATCCATGATCACAATCAGGGCTTTGTGCATACATTTCTTAATGTGGCTGTTTCTGCATTAACTCCCACTACACAAGCCACCGGCTCTAAGTCCTTTATATTTCAAGGGAAACAATCACACAGTAGAGGATGTGGACACCTGTCTTTAAGTTCTTACATCATCTTAGAGCAGCTATATGATCTTGAGTAGGCTATTTAATTTCGGCCTGCTTCTACATCTGAAGATGGGATGCCAGCTGTCTAACCTCAGTCACTAGATATCACGAGGACTTAAGGCAGCACATAAAGCAATGTAAGTCTGCAAAATGTATACTCAAGGAGGATTAACCCAGCAGGTTCACAGCCAGGCATGCACCAGCGTCCTAATATGTTTGACAGCCACAGACTACAACACTAACGCAGCAGATAACCTTGTCATTGAGGAGTCCTGGAACACTCATGAAAACCTGCAGTGACATTCCTGATCTGCATGCATCAGCATTCTTCTTGAAGACAACACCCTACTTATTGTAGACTTCTGGGCTGCCAAGCCAGGAGGAAGCCACGGTTTAACTCTTTCCTTTTGTCTGTTTTTATGAATGAGACTGACAAAACCAGGATTCCACAATCATACCAATCCTGATTAGCAGGATGTAAGGAACCAGTTACAATAGACTGACACTGGACCAGGAATCTGGGATAATTGTCAGTGTCCTTTCTTGCCCCTATTCGGGGATATGGGATTGCTAAATCATTGACAATACACCCATCTGATGAAATTGGACCCATTGGGGAGACTAGAGTGAACGTGAACCCAGGAATGCACACCCAGGACTCCTTTGGCAGACAGCCACGATCCTCTCCGAAGCAGCTCAGGGTTTTTCTTTGAAAACACAAAAGCAGGGACACACACAAAGGCCTGCTATGCTGGCAAGACTCCTCAGGTGCACAGTAATGTTAGTAATGTTGGTTTTCACCATATCAAGGATGATTTGACCCAATACCAACTCAGTCTTATAAATTTTTCATGTTTGTTTTCCAGATAGGGTCTCCCTGAACAGATCAGGCTGGCTTCAAACTCAGATCCTTCTGTCTTGGCTTAAGTGCTGGGATCAGAGGCATATACCACTACACTAAGCTTTCCTCTCTCTCTTTTTTCTTTTTATCTTTTCTCAAGATAGGGTTTCTCTGTATATTCCTGGCTGGCCTGGAACAGAGAGATCCACATGCCTCTGCCTCCCAAGAGTTGGGATTAAAGGTGTGCATCACCACCCCATCTTCTAATTCTTAATGAATACATTGTCCCCTTTACAATCTGTATCATTTACTTCTTTACCCAAGACTGTTCAAAAACATAAGTTAAAATGGGGGGAGGGGCCTGGAGAAACAGCTCAGTGGTTAAAGGCAATGGTTGTTTTTCCAAAGGACCCAGGTTCAATTCCCAGTACCCACATGGCAGCTCACAACTGTCTGTAACTCCAGTTCCAGAGGATCTGGCATTCTCACACAGATACATGCAGGCAAAACCCCAATGTACATAATAAATAAATCTTTAAAAATCAATCAAACAACAGCAACAACAAAACAGAAACAAATCACACAGATACCTATAGGGTGCATTTATTTATGACATACCCTTAAAAATAAAGAAAAGGTTGTCAGAAAGAAAAATCAAACCCAGGCCAATGAAAAGTTGTCTAAACTTATCTAATGCTAAGAACATAGTTATTCAAGAAAACGTCAGTTAAGAAACAATATTGTTTAACTTTTAAATATGATTCTGATCCTAAAAAGTGGTGATTCAAAGCACTAAGGGTGTGTGAGTGCAACACACACACACACACACACACACACATGACCAACCTTAAAACACATATGTAGTGTTGAGATATAATATTAAAATAGTGCAAAAGGAAAAAAAGTACGCATAGTGTTTAAACCACCAGGTGGTTTCTACAGAACACAAATAAAAGTATCAGTCTCTAGACTTAAACTCAGAGGTGTAAGAGGGTGGCTGGGGAATGTGGAACTTGGTGGAGCAGGCAGTCCTGCTGGCCTGGAGAGGGCTGGCCGAACACAGCAGTCACTGATAGGGGGGATAGAGTGGTATGTCCCTGACGGAAACCAGGTTCACAGAAGCTCTCGTAAAGCTTCCAGGACTGTAGCTGAGGTAGTGTTCTGAGAAGAGGGTTCTCCTGGACAGCACAGTCAGCATCTGGTTGAGTCGGGACCTGATGCCAGTGAAGTGAACCTGCCGCTCTTTACTCAGATTTCTGAATGAGTCCCTCAGGCACAGATCCAGGTGGGGGGTGCCCAGACCCAGGTACTTCGGGTATCCGGGAGTGTGGAGGTCAGGGGCTGTTAGGGAAATATGAGAACCGACAGAGCTGGCCAATGAGCCCTGGGAAGACATCGAAGAGGATGACCTCAGGCTAGAAGATCTCGACACCGACATCCTGGATGCAGGTGACCCTTCTTTAGACTGGGCACCCTGAGGAAAGAAGCTCTCATCAGCTTCAGTCTGCGTGGTAGTGGACTTGGACCACACTGTGGCCTGGGAGCCTGCTGCCCTTGTGTCTACTGCGGTTTGGATCCCAACACACGCCACGCTAGAACTGGTCTGTGTTCCCATCTCACTCAGGCTTACTATAGCCGTGTCTTCTCCTGGCTCTGTTTGGGTAGCAGCATCAACCACCTTGCTATCCTCGAGTTGGTCCTTGTGGCTGTAGAAATAGTCTTCATCGCTGATGGTAGAAGCCTCAGAGTCATGGCGCTTGGTTTTGGCTCTATCTTCTGGTGGCACTTTTGGGCCCAGGCTGGTCTTCTTGGGAGTACTGGAGAGTCTGGCCAGCCGCATGCGCAGCAGATTGCCCAGTGTGGGCTCCATCGACTGTGGCTTTCGGTCAGCCAGATGGTCAAACCTGCCACTGATCTGGAAGTTGGACAGGAGTTTGGAGCTGATGGGCTTTGACTGGGCGTACAGGATCCGGAACTCCAGATCAAAATGTTCAACCACTTGGCCAGATAGAATTACCAAGTTACTGCTATTTAATTTGCCATCGGTCCATGTAAAACTGAAGGATTAAAAACATAAACAAGTAAAGATAAGGGATCTCAGTTTACTTATTCTCAGTAGCTGCCATGTAAGAGTGGCGGCTGTGCTGTCTATGCAACAACAAATACGTGTGTCGAAAAAAAAAAGGAGGCTAATAGCTTAACACACACACACACACACACACACACACACACACACACACTCCTTAGGCTGTTTTATCCTAGGAGAAAGGTATACAATATTTAGGCCAGCAGCCTTTTTTACAGGGTAGAGAATCAGCAGGAGATGCCGAAGTGGGAAGCTAATGGCACTTCTTCCAGTTTCTCAAGTGGAGATGGCTACTCCACCAACATGCCAGTGCTCAGCACATTTTATAGCTGATTAGCCTGGTGTTCTTCCCTACCCAGCACCTCTTCCTCTTCCTCTAGAAACAGAACCTACACTTGTCTCTACCCACAAAACCTTTCATGCACACACTCTAGTCTCAGTGTGGTCCAGGACGGCCAATGTCTGATCCCTGGAATTCATCCAAAGTGCATCTGTGACTCCTCAAGGGCCAAATGAGTTTTCAGAGATGTGTGTCCCTGCTTCAGGAGTCTCTCCCTTTGGGAAACAGCTGCTGCAGTTTGGGTCAGTAAGCAGGGGTCTTTGCCTTCAAAGGAAGAGGGTATCAAAGAATAAAGAGCAAGGCAGAAGTCAGGGACAGTGTTCTAATAAACATCCTCCAAGGCCGAGAGGAGCTATAGTCAGCTGCACCGTCTCACCCTAGCATTGTCTGCAGGCTGCTGCCTCGCTCTGCACTCTGGTTAGCCTCCTTACATTGAGCTTTGGGCCAGAAGCAAACAGCACTAATGGGTGACCCTGAAACTCAGTTTCGACTATTTCTTGCAACTAAGAACCGTGACTAATACACATGTTGCCTGATAACTGTCTCGGAGACCGGGAGTCTTTGGAATATCCATGGTGGGGTAAGAGAAACAAAGAAGCTACCTGACCTTAGGACTGTAGCGTGTCCCAACACATGGGAGTATCACTGTCATGGGTGGTAGGACAGTGCATGTGTAGAGGGCAGTTTTTATGTTTATAGGTTTTCAAACAGCCAAAAAACATTCAGTCAAGTTTCATTGGTATATATTAAATCCACCTTGGGGAATGTGTAAATCCCCTTGGTATTTACAAGTATCTCACAGAAGGAAATCTCAAGAGCATGTTGTGTGCAGTTCTGAACAATGGAGCTACTGTGTGAAAAGGCAGGGCACCCAGAGCTACTACCTCACCTGCCACAAAACTATGGCTGGCACAAATCCACCAAGGGATGCACACTCTACAAAACTGGGTTTTGTTCTGTTTTGTTTTTCCAAACTCTGTACCTGCACGTACCATTGGACAATGCAATAGAGAGATAGCCAAGCACACAGCATGACGCAGTGTGAGTAAGGATGGTATAACTTCCAGAGATTAGCACTGCCAGCTGTTACCTCAACCCTTCATTCATCTTCCTGCTCTCCACCCAAAGATGCTACTGGTAAAGTGGGATTTTCCAAGGTGGGCCTGGAATATGCCCAGTGCTTTCTAGACTAAAGTACTCATTACAAGGCTTATAGCAACCTTACAGTTAAGTATAAATGAGTAGCTTCAGTCTGAAATGTCCTTACCTTCAAGTAAGTACAGTAGGTGGGGTCCAAGTCCCCAGGAAACCAGGATTTGAGGCCAATTAGCATCCAGCTTTCCCCCAAAGGCCTAGGCCAAGACTTGAATGCTGGAGTCTAACTGTGGAGTCTCAAGTTTTGTTTAACTTTTACCTTAGTTTTGTGGACCACAGGGAAAAGAAAGTGACTCTTAATCCCAACTACATCCAACAAAAGATGACTATGATGAACCAACTCACATGCACATGCATACACACACACACACACACACACACACACACACACACACACACACACA